TCATTTCACCGATTTGAATTTTCAATTTTAGGTTTCTACAATTAAAAGCTCTCATAAAATATCACATCTAACTTTTTCTGCTACAGTTAAAAGTTATCAGAAAATGTCACATCTCAACTTGAATTGAAAACTCAAATCTGCGAAGTGAATGATGCTAGATCTGTAAAAGTTTTGTTCGGTTTCAGAAGTTGAGTTGGCTGATACTTTATATTTTGTAATTAACAAACTTGCTTCTATGATTTAAAAAAAAATTGTCATGAAAACTCGTAATAATCTTAGAAAGAATCTTATGCCTGTTTGGAATCATTTTCAAAAACGGTTTTCACGTATTTCGAGAAGTAAAAAATGAAAATAAAAATGAAACGACATTTGTTTAGTAAATATTTTGAAAACGAAAACAGTAAGAATAGTTTTTTATGAAGGAATTAAAAAACAGTTGAAAGTTATTTTCATTTTTTTGTTTTCATTTTTTAGTATTTATCAATAATATTATAATATATTAATTAATGAACACAATTTCATTTTTTTATTATACTCAAAACAATCTCTTAAAAAAACCAACCAAACGCAATTTCAGAATCGGTCTCATAATTATTCTCAAAACAATCTCATTTTTATTTTTAATTAAAAATAAAATCATTTTAAAACTAATTCCAAACGCACATATTTCTTAACAGAAGACTTTGTTCCTCTAGAAATCAAAGTTGTTTTTTTTATTAATGATATCTGAGAGCAAAATGGCTATCAACGGGGCCAACCATCCTCCCAAGAAAAAAGAAATGTTTTTTTTAATGAAAAAAAAAATTACATGAGAAGACTTGAGATTGTAAACCGCAGTTTTCATATGAGAAATAAAGGGGCCGTTTAGTTCGCTGATTCGAGTTGAGATGTGACTTTATATGAGAGTTTTTTACTGTATCAAAAAAGTTATATGTGACTTTATGTGAGAGCTTTTTACTGTAACAAAAAAGTTAGATGTGACTATTCTGAGAGCTTTTTACTGTAATAAAACTCGAATCGATGAAATAAACGATGTCTAAATATCCTGACTGTGAGATGAAATGTGTGGGTCCCACCTAGGTGGACCTCAAACTAATTTATTCCCAACTAGATCTGTAAGAGTTTTGTTCAGTTTCAGAAGTTGAGTTGGCTTATACTTTATAGTTTGTAATTAACGGACTTGCTTCTTTTGACATTAAGTGGACATTTGATTCATGGGTTTAAAACCTTGATTCAGAACCATTCTCAGTTTACGTGTGTTTTTTATAATAGAAAATACTGTAGCGAGCCACGAACCATAATCTGAACTATGACACAAATTCTTACTCCAAACGCAACAAGATTTTCTCTCATTATATTTTGGACTCTTCTACGATTTAAAAAAAATTGTCATGAAAACTCGTAATATCCTTAGAAAGAATCTATTATTTTTACGTATAGCCTGTTGATATACTTCACATAATCCAAGCCTTATTCCACATAACCAAATTTATCTTGGCCAAGTCACACTAGAACAAATAGGAGATAAGACGATGATTAAAAACTATTGTCAAAAGATACAACAACAGTTTAAAAGTCGTCGTCGTATCTAGAGTCGTAAATGTCTAAGAGATATGACGACGGTTTTTAACCGTCGTTTAATACGCGTGTGAGGCACCATAAGAGTTTAAAAAAGTACATTAGACGAGTGTTTTTAAAAAAAAATCATCGTCTGATGTCTAACTTTTAACGATGATTTTTAAATTAATCGTCGTTAAAAGTATTAAAAAATTAAAATATATATTTTTGCCAAAAACTAACTTTTTGCTCAAAAAAATTATTTCTTTGAATGTTATCACAAGTTATTGAACAACACACATGAAAAAATTCAAAACAACATGTTACAAATTCACCTTCTCACATGAAAAAATTCAAAACAACATGTTACAAATTCACCTTCTCATACATAATCAATATATATGTAACACAAGTATTTTAAAACCAAAAGTCTCTATGAAATCTAACAATGAAAAACCTAATTAATTCAAAGAAAACTCTAAATAAATAAAAAACTAATCTCAAAGAAAAGAAATTTTGAAAGATTAACAAAGTACCCATTTTGATGGTCATGGTGTAGTGATGGATATGGAGGTGAGGTCACGATGGCCAGCGACGTATGAGCATGATTGTGAGGCTCTTGGAGGCGGCGGCCAAGTTGAAGGAGTGAGGAGTGTAGAAGAGATGAGATGAGATTTGAGAGGGAACAAATATTGAAGTGTTGAGAAGAAAGTTAGAGAGAGTTAGGGTGTGAGGAAGAGAGAGAGCTTTGGAGAGATGGAGAGATTTTAGATAACAAACTCAGAGTCTGTAAGAGAATGCTTGAAGTTATAGATGAGATATCAAAGCTCTAAAAAATTTCCAAAAAAAATGAGCGGAAAAAAGCCGCATTTTTTTTTTTGAAATTTTTCGACATTAGACGACAATTTTTAAAAAGCCGCCATCTAATGTGCGCATACAAATTTTTCATATTCATCCCGCGTTTTTTAGCCCATTAGACGACGGTTTCTTAAAAAATATCGTTAAATAAGATAGTAACCGTCATCTAATCTCCTATTTGTTGTAGCGTTAAGTCTTCAAAATTCAAACAATTTCAAACCGGATTCTCCTTGGATCATCAATTCGTTTCATCTTACGCGCTATCATCTTTTAACGGCACTTCTCCATTAATGTAGACAACCCCACACAGATAATATCTCACTCCAAATTTTTTTTTTAAAAATTCTAAACATTGCCAATAAAATAAAATACCTAACAGCTACGATTTTAATTAGCATTTTTTAAGGGAAATTTTGAACATACTATGAGAAAATTTTATAAAATCACTCTTCTTTTATTCATTTTGAACATGTCATACCAATCATTTCGTTGATCTTATAGATAAATTTGGATAGAATCCGCGTTTTAAACACATTTTATACAGTTGAGGGTGCAATAATCACTTTTAAAAATTGGGGAAGAAGTTAACATAAGATTAATAACTCAAGGCTTAAATTGAAATAAACTCAATCAGTTTGGGGGCTTGAACTTACAATTAGTGTTAGGTCAACCTTCCGTTAGTACAACTTATTAGTTTGATATTCGGGTGTATGTTGAAACAGATCATATAATATAGGGTCATTTATGAAATTAATTCAAATAGGTACTATACAATAAAAAGAGTCATTAGCAATTGTTGGATGTAAAAGAACGGGCATTTTTTTCATTTAAGTGATTGAAACTTTTATTTTAACATATACTCCTGTACTTAAGATTTATACTATAAGACCTGAAAAGTTAACTAATAGTAGGTCCTCTATTTTTCAATAATCAGGTCATTTATATCAACAACGGTCTATATACATATTTTAATTTTGATGTAATTTTAATTAAATTAACTAATTTAAAACGTGCACTATTAGTATGACCCTATCATAGAAAGGCTTTTTTTGACAATTTTTTGACACAAAAATTAACTTTGAAGTTTAATATAAATAATCACATCCATATCATATTATAACTCATAATTATATAAAAAAAAATAGTTAAATTGTTCTAGTTTTTTAAAAATAGAGAAGATAAGATATGTCACTTTAAGATTTTCGGGCCAAATGGGGCACAATAATCTTAGTTAAGCGACCGTTGCTAATAACCTTTAAAAGAAAACTAATCTTTAGCGCGTTATGCACACGTGAATTATTCAAAATAATAGTTATACAAATTGTTTTTAAAAAAAGAAAAAGAAGAAAAAAAAAGACAGAAAATAAATGAAGACGAAAAGGGAAAAGATCCGAAGCAAAAAATAGGAATAAAAAGATTTTAACTTATTTTATTATATTTTAAATTAGTCTTATTTTGTTTAATTCGTTTTTTATTTAATCAGGCATGATTTTATTCTATTTTAATGTATTTTTGTTCAATTTTATTTCTTACTTAAATTATTTATAGCATTTTTATCTGAATGGAACTGAAAATTTGATACAAGACGGTGTTAAAACTGACAAAATTAGACAAAAAAATCATTTAAAAATAAACAACCATTAGAATAAAGAATAAAAAAAATTAAAAATTATTACGACCGTCGGATGGAGAGACGCATGTGTAATTCATTTAAAATAACAATTGTAGAAATTATTTAAGGAAAAAACAAAAAGAAGGAAAAAAAGTATAGACAAGAATGATGAGGAAAAGGGGAAAAGATTTGAAGCAAAAGATGAAAAAAAAATATATTTTAACTTATTTTGTTGTATTTTAAATTAGTTCTATTATTTTATTTTACTTATTTTTTATTTAATTTAGTGTGCTTTTATTTTATTTTAGTATATTTTTGTTTAATTTTACTTTTTATTTAAATTACTTATAATATTTTAATACGAGTGATATGAGAAATTTAAGGGAACGTTTGTTTCCTATATTCGTCCATAATTCTGAATCATGATTTATGGTTCTTTATAATATTTTTTTCACAAAAAATATACGTAAAACAAGAATAATTCTAAATACATAAATTAAACGTCCTCTTAATGTAAAACCGTGTTAAAATGAACAAAATCGGACAACAGATGAGTTGAAAACAAACAAATAAATAAAGTAGATAAGAAAAATTAATAATTAAATTCAGAACGAATCTCAGCCGTCTGATCAAGCGTGGAATTTACGCTCAGACGAGGGCGCGTGGAGGTCTGCCTTGACAAGTTCGTAACTTCAGCGGGCTCCGCGACTTTTACCCACCAGTGAATGAGCGCGCCACGTGTACATCGCTGTAGGCCACTTCCTTATTCGCATGAGATTCGCTGCGGCGTGCTTTACCTGAGCTGGTTTCTACAACTACTAGAGTTTGGACACGTGTCTACTCAGTTGAACTTTTAAATCACATGCTGCCACGTGAATCTCACTGAAGATGCCTTCTAATCATAGATGGACGCATGGTAAGTTTAGTAAACCCAGCACACTGAATCATTCTTCCGGAAATTCAGAATCGCCAATATTTCTTCCTCCGAAAGAAAACCCAGAGAAATCCATAAACCCTAGGTTTACAGTTCTCGCTTCCGATTAAAGCTTCCGTTCCAAGGTCTCTGCCCAATTCGCCGGCGATTTGGATGGGGATCATTCGTAGTGGCTTCTCGTTCATATTGGGAACGGTCTGTGGGGTCTACATCGCCCAAAACTACGACGTTCCGAACATCAAGAAGCTCGCCAACACCGCTATCGAAATGGCTAAGGAAGAGGAGAAGAAATATCGCAAACGCAAGAAAGGGAACGACGACGATTAGTTGCTGAAGCGACGCCTTTTTCTGCCACCCAGGTTCTTCGATTTTGGGGATTTTTGTTTTTGTTGGATTTTATACGAATAGGTAAAATGTGCACAGAAATTGGAAATAAGAGAGGAAATTTTCATAGATGATTGGGATTGAAAAACCTCTTCCTGAATAATTTCATTCTTGAGTGAAAAGATCTGATTTTTATTGTTGAGAAAACTAGCGGGGGATGTGTTTCTAGGGCTTAATTGCTATTTTCTCCCCTTAATTTGGTCACTATGATTAATTTTTATCCCTTTTAAAAGGAATAACTGGTTTTGGATGGAAGAGACTTGCTTATAAGAATATGTGGTGATCATTTTGTTGCTTGATGTAGGATCAGAAGATGATTAGCTTTCTGCTTATGTTACGATTTTTTATTTTTTTTCAAAAGCTTATATTTAAGTGGAAGCGATGATGGTTCAAAAAAAAAAAATTGCTAGTTAAATGCGGGGCATAGATATAGAATCATAGAATTGTTAATGATGAATGATCAGTGGCATGTAAAGCAGAGTCCTACTTTTAAGTTGTGACATAACTTTATTCATTCCAAACTATAGCTGAATGAAGAACAATGAGTTGCTTATGGCCTGTTTGGTTCACACGTTTGAATTTAAATTTTGTGAGAGAATCCATGAGCAGAAAAGTATTGTAGCAGAATCAGATTCATGGTTTCACGATCACACTCGTGAAATGGGCCCTTAGATTCCCACCAAAACTACAGTTTGTTCCTCTGTTAAATGTTAACTGCTGTTCAGTCGTGTTCTTTTTCTGAAACTTTCTTGCCCACAGTTTTGTTTTTGTTTTTCATTTACGCGTTGAAACGATCTTGAGTTCCCTTTGGGAAGGGAAAAGTAAGCTCACATTGAACCTTTGCTGCTTAGCCTTGGTTTGTTGAACTTTTGCACTGGAATGCAACCAGACTTCCTGAAATTTACACTTTTGTATTAGTACCCAATGTTCTTGTAATTGATAAATGGTGGCTGTTAGTTTCATAGCAATTCTTTCAGTTCGTTTGGAAATTCACACCGTGATTGATAACTTATATGTTGGCTTTGTGAATCTTACCTTTTGACTCTCGAGTATAGGATTGCTAGATGATTGATGTACCACTATTGAAGTCTGTTAGAACACACGTGGTTCCTTGATACTACCGTGTACAGTAGTGTAGATTAGCTTTTCTCCTGCTCTCGTTAGTTTGTACACTACATTCTTTGTGTACAGTGATGTACTGATAGAGCGACAGGTGTATCGCCTGACGTGTTTACTTGAGACGATAACTAGTTTTGAAAATTCAATGGTGTTTCTTAACTATTTGACCTTTTGCTCTTTTTTCTTGGATTTTAAAACGCCTTCTATAGTGTGATCTGGTATGGTTTAAAGCTCAACTACTAGTTGGGTAACTTCTCTATTAGCTATGAAGAGGGGTAGGAATTTATGAACGAACTGTACTGATGCTTCTGGTGGTCATGATAAATCCAAAAGCAAAACGTTTAGGGCTGGAAACTCGAAGCTTAATTTTCAGATCACATTGGCTGCTGTTGCTGATAGTGATAGGATCGCCAACTTCATCCTGTAATTGCGTACAGTACATCTGTGAGTTCACGCTTTATATACTATTAACCCTGTCAAGGCGTTGAGTGGAGTTTTCTCGCAACAAACTTTACTCTGGAGTTTCAGTTCAACTGGTCCTGTGAATTGTAAAAAATAAGGAAAATCTACCACGTTGGCTCACCCCTTTAGTTTTGTGTTATTCACTCATAATTCTGCACTTCTGAAGCTGGTGTTGAGAGGAAAAGTGGGGGCGGAAATATTATAACTTGTAAAAAGGGGTATTAATCTTTACGTCTATCTGTTGAGGGGGCAATTAAGGGTACATCATTAAAAATTAAATTTAAGGTTGGCTTTGTTAAGTTATTACTGCATTCCATTCTAATAGCTAACCAAGCATAATACTAATATCATGTTTGTTCGGAATTTCAACCGAACGTTGGAATTCCTATTTAAATTTCATTCCATTTCAATTCCAGTTTAATTCTATCAAACTAAATCTCACTCCAGAACAAAATTCCAAAAATAACTCAAGTGTCCGCAGGATGTTCTGAGATCTGACCCGGTTTCAGCCCTTAATTTTTTGAAGATTGATTCCATGGGCACTCCCCTATTACATACCATTAGAACCCTTTAATAAACTATTTAACATCGCCTAGCAAAATGAAAAGAACAAAAGAAAAAAAAAAAAACACACACACTTATCAAAACCTTCTTCTGATGATGATATATCTTTCGTTAATCAGTACAAAAGGTGGAGTGGTTGATTTTTGTCGAGGTTTTAAAATCATATAACTCTTTGATGGACCCTGATGTGATTTAGAACCTTTTGAAATTGGTAGCTAAAATAAGACAAAGTGCACAATTGGGTCGCTAAAATTGAAATTAACCCTAGAAAAATGGATTAAAAAATGATTTTAGTTTGTTTTTATCATCGTAATCATGCCTAAGCATTGGCCCAAAATTTATTCCCTTTAGTAATTAACTATCCAATTTTGACTAATCAAGTTTTTTTTTTTTTACTAAAGTAATAGCTAATGACGTGTTTAGGGCGAACAAAGCAATGTGGTGAAGATTTCCTGATTCGTAATTAGAGAGAGAGAGAGAGAGAGAGAGAGAGAGTTGTTAGTGGAATCAGAAAACGTAAATGCGGTGGTGGACAAGATTGGGCCACAAACCACTCAAAGGCCTATAAATTATTCAACACATCAACTAGTAATTTCTTAGTGGTTAGAGGATGATCTTTATCTCGTTGCTTTGAATATTTAAGTAGGTAATACTTTATAACAAAGTTAGTTAAAAAATTAGTGGTTCACAATTCACAAAGCAGCAAGTATTTATTCGTGGCGCATATTGTGAAATCTGTATCACGTTGGCAATTTTTTATTCAGTCTACATCTTTTTTTTAAACCTATGTTTTTTTTTTTAGCTTAATTTATTTGAGAAATGCGGACCACAACAGAGAACCATATGATTACGCAAGTTGGTGACCCTTACCACAGTATTGTCTTCAATCTTCATTGCTATTGAGATCACCTCCAGGCGCCATCTATGCCACATTATAATTTACATACAGGAGAAAGATAATTTAGAAGAAAAGAAAAAAATAATTGATACAAGTATGATTTAGCGTTAATTTTAAACCTGACTTTACTACAAAGTGTAGAGTTGAAGCCCCCCATCTTAAATTAAAAGTAAGCTAGATTTATGTGATCGAATAGGAAATTTAAGCCTAAAGAAATGTTTAATCCCCTAAACAAACACTAATTTGAGAAGGGTTGTAGGTTTAAGTACTCACTTTTGGTGTACAAGACCAAAAAAAAAAAAAAAAAAAAAAAAAAAACCTTACTTTTGGTGTATATAATTGGCAAAGCATAATTGGTCTGGTAGAATAAGTCCAAAGTTTTTTTAATTTCTTTTTTCTTTATAAATGAATGAACAAGTCCAAAGCTGACATCTTTGAGAAAAAAAGACAAAATAAAAAGAAAAGAAGTTCAAAGCTGACATAAAACATATTAATCCGAACATTGGGACTCGGCATGTAATGTAAGTGCTGATGGCTGATGATGAAAACACCATCTTCACAGTCCCTGTCTTGAAGCAATCCCATTAAATAAGGGCAGTTTTATTTTAGGTTTGGTCTCCTAAATTTTTTAGATGACCTTTTTGCAGGAAAGCCGAGTCTATGTCTGTCTGTGCTTTATTTTATTTCTTCCATGTTTGTTTGGAGAAGCTTTACGGTGGAGGAGAAGGCAATTTGACTCCACTAGTAACAACTATTGTTTGTAATCGTGGATTAATTTTTGACTGGTAAGTTTAGTTTATGTTCGTATTAAAAATTTACAACGCGATATAGAATTATTCCTACTACAAATTTGATTGTTAAAAAATTAATCTTGGTTAAAACACAATTCCCTTTTGTAAAATAAAATGGCCTTTATAAATACACCCATTCAATAAAGGCAAATTCCCACCACATTTACTGCAAACTTCCCGGTATACATCATGGACAACCGCCTTTTTTTGGACCCTACAAAAATTTGCCTGCCAAAACGAACCAATGCAATTTGGCAGTACGAAATTTAACGGAAGTTGTCTACTTCAAGTCTTCCCATCACATTATGTGGTCCTTGAACACTTTGATGCAAAAACAAGAAAAGGAAGTTGTTCTAGTGGCCCATGTTTTCCGAGCCCCCACACTGAATTTGAAAACCTCCTTCACTAATTTCAAATTTCAGGAGACAAAGTTGTCAATTTAGTCTTTAGAGATATCATTCTTCCCAAGGGAAGAAAAAGTTTGAGCACATTTTATTCTCACAACATGGTGGATCTTTCTTACAAAAGTTTATAAAAGCGTGAAAAGCTTAAGAAATGGTGCTCGTAGGTTGAATTTTTTGAAATCTTGCATAAATTGATGTAACATACAAAAAAAAAATGTACAAACAGATATAATACAATGACTATCTTCTAGTCCACCTCCCTTTTGCTCCTTTTCCACCGAATTTTCCCCTCAATTGCTGAAGTAGAACTACGGAGAAGGCTAAAAAAATCTTCTCCTTTCTTTAACCATAAGAAAGATCTCATATTTCATTTTAACACGCACTGGTCTTGAAGGATTTGGCCAGTCCAAGGAATCACACAACAATCAAACATAATTACAGTTCCTAACAAACTAATGCCGTATCACACCTCATCATCCGCAGATGAAGTTCTCGTCGCCGTCAAAGCGATTTTTTCAGCCACCTCAGACACAACAAGTCTAGTAAGAAGCAGCCCTGCAATTAGAGCCGATCCCATCAGCATTGTGAAAACTAAGCTCCAGCTCTTGGCAGAAATGTAGCCTGTCAACAAGGGTCCAATTGCAGCCCCAACAGAGCCTGTTCCATCTATAATTGCCGTTACGGTCGCGAGTGCTCGCGAGTTCCCTTGCAGTGAGCTATGTGTTCCCAGGTCAGCCGATACGGCCGTTGTTATGAGAGCATATGGCCCGTTCACAAACACGCCGGTTATGAACATAAGGGCAATGTTTATAGTCAAGGAAGTATGTCCATAGCTTCGGTAGAAGAAGAGAGCAGGAATAGCACAATACATGAAACTCGCCGCTGTTATTGCTCTCCCGTCTAAACGATCAGAAATGTGACCGGCTAGGATTCCTCCAACAACACCTCCGACATCAAACAATGTAGACAAGTTTCCAGCAGTCTCATTGGACAAGTACTTGCCATCAATAGCTGCAAAATGTAACCATATAAAAATGAGAACAATTCTTGTGGTTGACACATTTTCTGTATCAGGATTGGAAAAAAGGCAAATTGAATTACCTGTGTGACTAATGTAGAAAGGAAGCCAATAGAGGAATGTATAAGCAACCAATTTGGCAAAGAAGAGGCAAAGAGCAAAAGGAGCAACTCCAGGAATCTTCCATGCTTCAATGAACCCCACAGCTTTCTCTTTACTCTCTCTGTCCGACCTCAACAACAACGGTTCTGCGAGCACCTCTCCACTCTTCTCCAGAGAATCCACTTCATCTTCTTCTTTTACAGCTCCAACAGATTCAGGACTAACAGGTAAGAAGAAGAAAACCACCAGACCAATGAATGCTATTAAGAGACCAGGCACAACAAAGGACCAGCCCCATCCATAGCTCAATAAAGCCGAAGCAAGCAAAGATCCCGTGATGTTTCCAACGGAAGTGTGAGCATTCCATATCCCCATAATCAGCCCTCTCTTCTTCTTCCCAAACCAGTTACCGACCACCGCGACGACTGAAGGCCATCCAGTTGATTGGAACAGACCAGCAATCATTTGAGCTATAAGGAAATAGTAAAAACTATGGATGTTCCCCCAGTACCCCAATCCGAAAAAGGAAGTGAACACACCTGTTCCTATCATTCCTATCGTCAAAAAGATCCTCAAATCCATTCTATCCCCCAAGTGACCAGAAAAATACATTCCAATGGCATAAACAGCGAGGAACGCCACGTCGAGTTCACCAAGAAGGGATGTCCCGTCCAGTCCATTGAATGGAGCCCAACCATCACCAAGCACCCAAGAAAGCCTTCTGCTTTCTGCCGGTTCACTAACATAACTAATCCTCCATGGTGCAGATTTCAATCCCACATCAGGGGATTGGGGATCAAGAGAACTCTTGACAACACTTGTGGTTTTCCTAGCAGCATGGTAGCTAGCGTATGCCAAAAAAGTCACAATTAGGATAATGGCTTGGTGGGTTTTGAAGGAAAGGGTGGACTTTTTTATGTGCTCCAGAAACTTAATTCCTGGAGGCTTGCTGTAATTTCTCTCATGTGCCGTTTCTGTCAATGAACCCATGTACTGCAGTAAAGAGGAAAAAGTCCTTCTGCTTCCTCTCGTAGACCAAACCCAAAATCTGCAATCTGAGGGGGGAAAAAAAAAAGAAAAAGAAAAAAAATCCATCAAAATGTGCTTCCTAAGACAGAAGCATTAAAAAAGTTCATGTTGGTGAAAGAAATAACTTAGCTTTAAGTGAATGTAATTTGTAAACGTGATACATAATTAAGTCAACAGGTTGGTTAAGGAAAAGTCAATTGAAGCAAGTGCCAGAACCATATTTTCAGGGGGGGGAACAAAAAAAAGAGGTGCCAGAACCATATAAGAGAAATTGTATTCTTAAGAAGAAAAGTTCGCCGCTTTTGCTAGGAGGAAGAGAAAAAACTTGCGAATTATAAAATTATTGTAACAGATATTGATGGATACAGTGTGGAAAAGAATAAAAAATAAAATAAACTCTAAACAAGCAACCAAAGTCAAAGCGAATTGGACGCAAAGCTATATATATATATATATATATATAAGACAAGATGAGAAATTGAGAAACTTTGCAATCAAAAGATAGGAGCTTTGCCAGAATAAGAATGAACCTCCCAGCTAAATCACCAACGAAGATAAGAAGAGAAGAAAACGAAAGAAAAGGAAAAGGAAAAGGAAAAAACAAATAAGAATAGAATTCAACTTTTCATGATTTCTTTCCCAATCTGCAAAATACAGATCAACAAATCTAAAAACTGGAAACTTCAAAACTAAATTCTGAATGATTAGAAACAAAAGGGAATTTCGCAACAAAAGTTCGATGCTCCGGCAAAAGTCAAAACTTTCTTCTTTGGATCAAATCCAGTAAATCAGACGAAAAATAGAAAAGAAATCTTGTTAAACCATTAGAAACGAAAAATCTGTGAAAACAAATTGAAATTCAACCATTACGCGAACCAAATTTACAGAGAAACTTACCTCTGGCTCGGCTGAGATTAAGTGCAATGTGTTTTCTTCTCTAGAGATGTGTTCGTCTCTCTTTCTCACTCTAAAATTATCACTTCTCTCTCTCTCTTCTCTCTCCTCTGAAACTCTCTGGTTTTGGTGTATCTTAACGAAGGAGGAAGTTGATTCTTTCCTGAAAGCTGTGAATGAAGATTATTCGAAGGCAAATGGGGAGTGCAGCGCAAGGATTCTTAAGCCGGTTATCAATAATATTTTAAAACTGTGAAATTCCGCTACTGCCCACGGCTACCATTTGATATCCACTAGGATTCAACCTTGGTTTCTGACGTCGAGGTTTCTGTTCTATGTTTGAGTTTACTAGAATGCCCCTGGCTTAAGTAGTAATGGACGCGTTTGGAACTCGTCCCAAAATGATTTTAATTTTTGTATGAAAATGAAAATGTAAACGTTTTCAATCTCAGACATAAATTATTTTTGAAAATGCGTTTGATAGTTTTATCAAGAAATTATTTTCAGTGTAAAAAAACTATTAATGTATCTCTTTCTCTCTCTACTCGAGAGAGGAGAAAATAAAAAATCACTAAAAGTCGTTTTTCATTTTTCTTTCATTTTACACTAAACTAAAAAATCGTTTTCATTTCTGTTTTTTGTCTTTATTGCGCCAAACGCCGTTTGAGAACGTTTTCATTTTTTTTCTTAAAAAATGTAAAAAATAAAAACGAGATCAATTCTAAACACGGCCAAAAATTTCGCTTTTAGGTGTTGTGGTGCGATTCTCACTTGGAAATAGTAAATACCACGCCGCCAAGTTTTGCCCAAGAAAACAGGAACAATGTATAGGAATACACACAACACATATATGTATGTACGTGTGTTTGTTTGTGTTTGAATGTGATTCGGATTCGGACTTAAACCATGCTAATTGTCTTACTTCAAAATAAATCAATGCGATTAAATAGGTTTTAAAAAAAAATCTACCTTCATTTAGAAAAAAAAAAAAAAAAAAACATTGTCCAACCCTTTGAATTTATAGGAATTTCATTTACCTAGCAATAAATTGTATTCATACAATTTGCGTGTAAATAGTTGGAAAATCTTTTATTAGAATTAAAAACAAATAACTCATCGGTATTTTGGAGGTCTGAATCATCAAATTTCATTAACTTTACATATTTTTTATTTTTATTTTTTGCCAAAAGAGATATAATTTGTCTTTTTTATTATTTTATTAAAAAAGAAAAATAACTTATCATATTTCGTAGGTCTGAATCATCAAGTTCTATTAACTCTACATATTTTTTATTTTTATTTTATGCGAAAAGAGATAGAATTTGTCTTTGTTATTATTTTAATTTGTTGGCATCTCATATTTTTGAAGGAATAATTTTGGTATCACGTATTTAATAGCGAAAAGGTTCTAAACTGAAAAAAGAAACTATTGACAATGACCTCTGAGAAGGAGTTTGAAAAATTTCTATTTGATTAAAGTAACAATTAGAGATGAATTACCATCATAAATCTCAACCTATTCCTTCCATCGGCAGTTATCTTCCCAGTTATCACTCGACGTTTAGTTCACAGATTTAAAATTATGATTTAAAATTATTTTTAATTTATGTATATTTTTTATGAAAAAAAAATATTATAATGAGTCACAAATTTTCATGTCAAATCACTTTTTTTCATTTTTTTTCTTTATTTTCCTTTTTTCCCTTCTTTGTACAAGTAATACTTAATTTTTTACTATACACGATAGCCTCATTCATTTCGTTGATTTGAGTTTAAAATTCGAGTTGAGATGTGATTTTATGTGAGAGTTTTTTATTGTAGTAAAAAAATTAAATGTGACTGTTTCTGAGAACTTTTTACTGTAGTAAAACTTAAATTCTAAACTCAAATCGGTGAAGTGAACGGGACCTAAATAACTAAACAGTGTCATGGCGTGACGAACGCTTTCCCTCGATCGATTAAACTTGTAGACATTTTCAATAATTTTTTATTCGTTTTTCTTCGAGAATTATTGTTATGTCAAATATCCGCCAACTCTCACTGCCTTATTTTGTGACGTCTTTGCCACACGCATGACACGTGCCCCAATCTGTCTCATAAGTCTTTGGCCCTCATTTCACGCTTTCAATTCGATTTTCCAAATACTTGCAAGTAGGGTGACAAGAACATCACAGAATGTAATAAAGCAAGTTGATTAGGATTTAAGAGGTCATTTCGGAGAAGAAAAACCATGATTCAGAGGAAAACCTGGCGAGTAAGCTTGGTGAGTCTATTATAAGCAAGTATAAAATAGCTTTTTTTTTTTTTTTTTTTCAAGTATTTGGTTTTATTTTCTTGATACGGGTGTCAACTTAGCTGGATACACGTTATTTTCGAGAGAGTGACAATTCGGGGAAGAAACATTTCGTCCCCGTTGATTTATGCACTAGAAAACTCTGAAGGCCTCTTTTTTCTTTTTCTTATCCACCTTATCTTTAATAATTGTTCTCTTGTAGTTCTTATATATTTTTTTTATAATTTTTATAAGAATCTATAGTGTTATAATTCAATACGCCATACCAACTGCCATATGTATTTTATATAAGATCCAAAAGTTCTGCATGTTCTTGGATAATGTTATGTATGTATAATATATTGTGTGTGAAAAATGACATTTATTTGACTAGTGATGAGAAGGCCTTGAAGAATTGGATTTGACACTTGAGAATAATGTGCCTTCCTCGTGTCAGTGATCATATTCTTTTTCTCTTTTATTCACCTTTTTTTCCCTTTGCTCCCAACAAATTGATTATGATGGTTTCCGAAACGATTTCGGATGTAAAAATGTGTATTTAACATATCGTATATAATAAAAAAATTTATAAAATTTTAAAATAATTTATAGATTAAATTAAATTATGTATGAATAAACTAATCAAATTAATTTATTTACCTAACGAACGATTAGGTCGATAATTTGAGTTTTTTGACCACGAACGTTCGTTGCTCCAAATTAGTTTAGACACCTGAATCTTCCTCGTCAATTCTCAAAATTTACGAAGACGTGTGTGTAGGCACACTTGAAACAAAACGAGATTAGCAAACAAACACTCAAGTTTTTCACGAACACAACACATGCACGACGTTGAACTTTTAGAGAAATTTTCATTTTCCTCACACTCTATAATTCAGCCACTATAGCTAGGGAGAGCAAAAAATTGTGTTCTCCAATTTTTTACAATCTCTTATTTATAGAGTAGAAGTTAGACTCCCAGAAGAAGTCTAATCTTTATCTCCAAGATAAAACTTGATAATTATATCAAACTTCTAATTTGATTTTTGAAACACAATCCCTCTATCTCATTTATCCTCTTGGCTGGCCACTACAGGGAGATTCCTCCTGTGGTAGGTGCATATTGCCGGCAAAGAATATGACAAAAATTATGCATTTTATCATGTAGTCTAATTTTGACTAAAATTCAAATTCTAATTTAAGTCAAACTTAAATCAATTGAATTTCAAATTGGACAACTTATCAAATAAGTCAATTGGATATATTGCGTGTACACCATGTGGACACCTTCACATGTGTGTTCTAAAATTTAAATTTAAATTTAAATAATCACATTATTTAATTTATAATTAATTCTCACTTAATTATTCTTGAATGTTTTATTTTAGAATTCTATAATTCTAAAATTTTCATTTTGCCCTTAATGTCTTGTAGGATAATAAGAAGGACGCATGGACTTATGGACCTATAAAATAATTAATTAAACTCTCTAATTAAAAATTAATTTTAAAAGTTACTTTACTATAAACTTGGAATTACACTCTCGTAATTATAGACATAAGTTACATATAAATTGTGAAGTGTCCATTTGATATAGTCATTACATATAGATCAATCTTCCATAAATAACTCATAATTAGAGTTAGGTTAAATCCGTTAACCTCTCTAATTACATCTTTACCCTTGAGTACCATTGATTCTCTAATAGACAATGATTCATAAAACAAGTCCATAAGTCAGAGCTCCTACTAGTCTAAGTACGAATCAACCCTCAAGGGAATTATTTATCTACTTATTTCTCAAGAATGAATGGATTTCATCTTGTATAATAACATTCTCAGCTACTTATTTCATCATGTTTTTAAAATACAAGGAATATGATTAAACATCTTGAAATCTGTACCAAGTAAATTAAAAGACATAAATCCACAAATTGGAGTCTACTAATAACTTAAGATTAAAATAATTCTATACATGACCATTAGTAAACTCAATTAGAATTTCTATACTTAATGAAAATTATCTAAAATTTATATTGTGTCTATGTCCATGTTCTACATAATCTCATTATGCATAATACACTTATTCAATATCTCTCCATTTTAATAGTACGGATAATATTGTTCCATTCTAAATGGGAATGACATGTATTATTAATGTTTTAATTAAATATTATGAACTAATTAAATTCATTAGCAACATCATTTTGATTATTATCCTTAAATATTATCCTTTCGCATATAACATTTTTATACAATATTTAAGGTCACATAACTAATCATGAAATTTTCAATTATATATTCATAAAATATTCAATAATATATGCACATAAAATAATGAATAAACTCTTTTATTAATTAAATAATAAATATCCTATTACATCTCATGTTTCTAGGACACCATTCCTAACAGATTATTTATCTATTTCACTTTAGTTATTATTTTTGTCGTTATACTTGTTGCACCATGGTCGAGATTTCTGACCATTTGTCCAAGTAAAGCCGTCGAGAATTCCAGAAGGCAGGATCGGGCTTACCTGTCGATAAGTACTAGTTAAGGGAAATATCCTTTGAATAAGGAGTTCCTAAGCAGCTGTGTGATTGTGGTCGAGAAATCCCAAAAAGGTCATAAAGATGTCTACATAGAGAAGTCGACAAGTCCAAGATAAGGCTGAGATCAATCTAAAGCCCGCCAAATCAGGAAAGGATAACTCTTATCTTATATTCAATATCAAATAAAAGAATCGATATAGATTATCAACTACAACCATGTATTTAAATTCAAACAATTAAATGTGGAGATAAAGCTAAGTAAAATCTTGTCTAAAAATGAGATAAAAAGCTTATCTCATGATGTGATCTAGAGATAGATATATTATGTACATAAGAATCTATAAATAAAGGTTAAACTCC